TTTTATTCATGCTCTGCTTTCCAAGAGAACGCTTGGTTTCCGAGAGTGTCCTAATGGAGCTGAGAAATTTGTTGAAGTACACAATAAAGGAAGGCAGGGTTAATATGGCTGCTATAATGGTTTTGATGCAACAACTTTTAATATGAAAATATTAATCAATTCTCATGTTTGACTTTTTAAAAAATATTACAGGGGCTTTGTAGGCTTTTTTGTTGTTGGTGGTGGTCTTTGGGGTTTTTTTGGACGTGGTTTTTTTTTGGTTTTGCTGTTGGTTTGTTGGTTTTGGGTGGGACAGGGGTTTGTTCTTGGTTGGGGGTTTTTTGGGGTGCATGTGTGTTTTGGGTTTTTTTACCAGTGCCTGAGTCATAATGAGGATATTTTGCAGTAACTTACCGCTTTGGATAAATGTATCAAGCACATTAAACAAGTGTTGCTACTGTTCATTTCAAGCCAGCTCACAATCTGTATACTCATTCAACCTTTTTCTCTAAACAGTATACATCATTCTGAGCAGCTTCTATAAACAGACCAAGATCTGCTTGCTATAGCAACACACCTCCAATAAGTGAATTTTCTGGCTGATTAAACAGAGGAAGAATAACACTTCTTAGATCTAGCATACTTGTGTCAATAAATATCTGCTCGTGCTAACCCCACAGTAAGGTCCTCGTCCATTCTTAGGCTGCGATGGATGCAGCAAAAACAGGGGGAAAAGGAGAATGGTAACAATGATCACAACTGTATGTAAACAGGGGCCTCTCCCAGTACAGACAAACAAAACAAAACAAAACAAAAAACACCAAAAAAGTTTTTAAAAAAAGTGGAGAAAAGTTCTTACCTTTCATCTGAGGTACCTTCAGTTTGGATATTCACCTCTAGACATAAACTTGTGAAGTAGTTCAGATGAATCTAGTCTGCTTCTCTCCATTTAGTAGAAAAAGACACTATCTGATTAGATTGAAACTACACATTTACAGTTTAAAATTAGGCAATATGAATACCATGCTTTCTGTGGGTGTGCCTACATTTTCCCATCTAATTCTGCTTTCTTCCTTTTCTCTCTCTTACTGCTATTTGACCTGCCATACTGGCAAACTCTTGAACTTAGTAGGTTATTTCTATGAAGGCCAAAACCTACAATTTTTACCTATAGGTGCACAAGGTGATGCAACCTTGTTTAGTGCAAAGGACAAAGTGATTTCTGCTCAGAGCTGGTTAGAATATTTTTCACCATTGCTTGAGTGCTTTTAAATGAATACTGTTATTTTCCTTAAAATGGACTATTTTCAATAAGAGAAGCACTTGCTTAGACAAATGCTGTCATGAACGACAATTTAAAATAATTACTTTTCAGCCTGACAGACTGACTCAGAATTTCATTTAGAAATTCAAATGATGTTTTATAGGTTTGCAATGCCAGCATGTGTCCTTTCAGGTCAATGCCATCTCTGTGTCTGGCCTCTGTATTTCAATTTGTTTCAATGCCACAAATGCTTTGTTTTCAATAAAACAAACAAACAAAAAAGCAATAATTTGGCCTCTGATTAACTTAGAACAGTATTTTAAACTAGATAACTTAAAATGGATCATAATTATCATGGTACATCTGCTAGTTACATGTACCACTAGACCTTTTGGTATTAAATGTAACTCTTGCATCCCTACGTGCAGGTGACCCTTAAATGTGCAGAGCAATGGATTTAAAGTCATGCATGTAAATGCTTGAACCACTGAAGCATAAAGTAGATAAACTTGGCCCATATTTTTTGAAACAGTGTAAAATGAAACATAATTATGTGGAAATAATTTTGTCTTTTAAACAACAGCTTCTACTTAGCAATGAATCACACATCTTTCTATACAGTCTTTTGTTTCTTGCTCTGAGCAAAGTTTAAAACAGCCTTCACTTAAAACTAGTGTACGGTAGAAGGACGGAGTAAATTCTGCAGCTGAAGGTGGACAAGAGGTAGCATTTCTTTGGCACCAAAAGTAAGTAATTTTTGTTTGGCAAAAAGGGATGCTTGCATTTGCACAGATATTTGCATTATAAGAAGCAGGCCTAGCAGAAATGAATGAACAGACAGCACGTAGGTGAAGTCTGAATGTAAATCAAATGGCTCTGAAATGTGGAAAACAATTGTCCTCAGATTGGGTTAGGGTTAGTCCCATATTGGATGCATTTAACTTTCTGGACTTAATGAGTCATATGGACCCAAATGAGAATACCCATGTGCATGAAATTAAGATTTGAGTATTTAAAAAGGATATCACTGCAGCAATTCAGATCACTCTAGTGTTTAAAACATCAGCTTTTTCTTTCAGAGAGACACCACTACAGTTTAAAAGTGTTGGCAAGACTGAAGGTAAAGTATTTAATTCTTAAGCAAATAAGATTTTAGTATCATCAGCTCTTGACAGAAATCCCTAATTAGTTTATCTTCTGTTTATAATGATGTAGTATATCCTCTGTTTATAAAGGGGAACAGTATATATCAAGTGTGGATGAGTAACAGCAGAAAGTTTTAAATATTTAATACGTATAAATTACTGCATAATTTTTATTCCAAAACTGATGTCATTCTAGAGCCTTCTCCAGGCCTATTTGAGAATTTCCGTTTGGGGCATTTCAAAGTATCTGAGAAAAACATTTCTATCTGAAAGTTCCTGGAAAAGAACATTATAGATCCCAGGGCCAATACACATCTAGAGATTGTGGGAGATGCTCATAAATCAAAAGAAATGAACAGCTGAAATGTCCATTCAGCTCAGTTGATGGTAGGAGTACTCAGCACCTCTGAAAATTAGCTTGCTTACCAGGTGCCTAAATAAGGATGGATTGGTGCTTTGAAAAATGTGAGCTTAATAAGTCAGTTTGGTAAACATACAGCAACTTTGCTACAACATTTCCATCACACGCTACAGCCAGGGAGGAAATAGGAGGCCTGGAACAACTGCAGCTTAGGCTTCTAGACTTGATCCTGACACACGCTGCATCTGGAGGCTGGCAGACTTGGATTTCTGGCTTTTCCAGAGCTTTTTTAAGCTCAGTGGTGTACAACATGCTAAGAGCTGCCATTTTCAGGACTAGAAGCCAAATCTTATGGAGAACCCTTTTTTCCACATGGAAGTCTTTCCTTCTAGGAAGGTTTCAAACACAGCTATCAGCTCTGTTCTGCACTTCCAGCAGTTTTGCACAGATTACAGTGGAACTGCTGAGCTTCCTTCTCTCTTTGCTAACACAAGAAGTGAGGAGAATTTTACAAGACCCATCAGTGAGTGTTGCAATCCAGGCACACACCACGGCAAATTGCAATCATTCTGAGAGCAAGTGATTTCTCTGGGGACTTCAAAACACATGGTGCAGTGTGGTCTTTGGCACTTAATTCTTGCTTTACTTCAGTCAATGGAAAAAAAAAGTCAGAAAAATTAAAATAAAACAAATTCAGATTAATGTAATCTCAGTGATGAAGGTATATGCTCAAACTTCAGGAAATTATTTTTTTCAGCCTTACATCAGCTCAGCTGTTTTGCATATGCTGACCTTGGTTAGTTCTGCTCCATTAGTATGTTTTTAATATTTGTTTCATATCTCTGAGATTTACAATTGATATGTATACTTTAATACTTTTGATAACATAATATTTATTCCTAAATCTCTGGGAAGGTGGCCATCAATCCAGTCTGGTGCGGGTAAAGCCAAGTTTACGTACATATATGTCCATGTGCATGAAAATATGCATTTTGTGTTGTGGCTATGGCTTCTCAGGGCCATCTGGAGGTAAAGAACCTATTTACCAGGATCATTTTGTACACATGACCCATACAGCTGGGCAGGATGACAGCTATGAGAGAACTGTGGCTCTGCCCTCAACCAGCCTTGTAGGAGTTCCATTGAATGGCCAAAGCTGGCAGGCACCTCTGAGAGGGTCTGGTCCAGCCCCCTTCTCAGGGCTACAGCTGCAGCGGCTGCTCAGAGCAACACCCAGCCTGGTTTTTGGTACCTCCACTGACAGAGACGCCACAGTCATTCAGGACAACCTGACACATTTTCTTATGTTTAAATGGAATTTCCTTCAGCCTACACCATTTGTGTCAAGCCCTGTCACACTGTTAGTGTCATGAGATAGAGCAAGAGGTGGCTGGAGAAGGAGGCCGTGCAGAGGTAGGGCAGCGCTTTTCCTGGACAAACACCCTTGTTCTAGTTCCTGGAGATGAGCACAGCACCGTACAGTTTAAGCACGGGAATGATGAAGCCAGGAGGTGGGCAAGGACTGTAGAGGGGGATCGAGACCACCCAAGCCTCCCAAAGCCCTCTGACCCATTTCCAGAAAGATCAGGCTGCACGTGGTAACTAATTTATGCAGAAAGTGAGAAGCCTGTCTTCAGGGTGGAGAAAACTTATCCATAAAAAGGTATTCCTCCCAAGCCTGGGCAGCAGCCTAGGACTGGGTCATTGCTGGAATCAGAACTGGTGATCTCTTTTCCCCTTTCTTTTCCTCTCCCTCTTTCTCTCTGCCCCTCTTTAACTCATCTCTTCCTTTCTCTCATCCCTTTCAACCTACCCCTATATCCAAAACCCACTGCCGTGTGCTTACACGGTAGGTCAGGGACTAACGAAACTACCTCCACGGCAAGCGCGCGATTCACTAATAAAACTTTCTGATTGTTTGCGGACCCGCTCCTTTGGACCACGAGCCTTTAGGAACCTCGGGCGCTGCCTTTCCCTTGCGGGTGGGACATCCCGAGTCCCGGGGGGCGGCGGAGAGGGAGAGAGTGAGGGAGAGGCTCTGCCTCTGCCTCTGCCGCCGCCGCTACCGCGAGCTACCGCCCGCCACAGCCCGCCACAGCCCGCCACAGCCGCACCGCCCGCTCCGCCCGCTCCCTGCATGTGCCGGGAAGGGGAAGGGGAAGGGAAGGGGAAGACCCGCAGCGGCGGCGCGTCCCGTGTGATGGCCGCGCCCCGCCGCTGCCGCCCAGCCCCTTCCCGGCCTGCCCCGCCCGCCATGTTGGTGCGGCGGCGGCGGGAACGGGAGCGGCGGGATTGCGGGATCGCGGGGCGCTCGGAGCATGCGGGGCGCACGGAGCGGGCAGGGCGCGGAGCGGCGGCCCGCGGGCGCGGCCCCCGCGCAGTGGGTGCTCATTGCCCCAGGTAACCCGGCGGGGTCGCTCCGCGGAGGGGCGGCTCTGCCGCAGCGCCGAGCTCTCCCGCCCCCCGGCCGGCTCGGGCGGGAGCCGGGCGCTCGTCCCCGGGCCTGGGGCAGGTGCCGGGGCTGCTGCGGGCGGCCGGGCCCCGCCCGGGTGTGCTGAGGCCGCTTAGAGACACAGCCTCTACACGAGGCCCCGCACGGTACCCGCCCTCCCCTCTCCAGGGACCCCATTTCCCTCGCTGGATCAGTGCGTTTAATTTACGTCTGCCATTAGGGTTTTGCCGAGGGCTCTTGCCACCGATGTCCCTGGTGGGGTCTCGCTGTCCCCTGCCCGGAGCTGGCGGCCCGCCTTGCCTCCATGCCCTCAGTCCCTTCCTGCAGCTTTTGAAGGAAGCGGCTTAGTGCCCTGAGCCACAGCTGTCACACAGACATCAGAGCTAAACTAAGGCAGAGAGATCTCCTCAGCTCCTGGTGCTGAAGCAGCGGAGCTCCACACGGCAGCTCGGCAGGTGCCATGGCCTCCGTGTTGCGGAGGCTCTCGCTCTCCCACGTGCGCTGAGTCCGTGGAAGGATGCCTTTGCTCCTTACATGTATTTCTGCCTAGTATCAGGTTTAAGCAAACAGATCACAAAATTATTTGCTGCTAAAAAGGATGAGTGAAACAGGATGTGTTCAAATGCCAAGTCATTAAGAGGAAGAAGTCATAACTGTCTTTTTCTAGTTTAGTTTTTAAGGAAATGTGACTTCCATGATTATCTGTGGGCCAGCTTTGTACTGTGGCTATTTCTTAACTCGCCCATAACTGGACAGTGTTAATAACCAAACCTGATAAAAAGAATGAGTTCTTTGGAGTAATTTTCTGAGCTTTGCCTGTGATGATGTCAGAAATGCTGTAAATGGCATCACTGAAGGAAAGGTATAGCAAGAACTTTGTTCAGCAAAGGTTGAAAATAAGGCAGGAGCTCAATCTTGAGACGTGCCCAGAAGAAACCAGGCTTCTCCAGTTACATCAGAAACAGAACCAATTGCTATGATTTCACTGATTCCTCTCTTCCTCTAGTTTTAACTTTTCACTTCCACCCTTTGGTATCTGACATTTTTGATGCCTAAGAAAGGAATTTATAAAGTGAGGAGTTCCTTTTTTTAATATTGACTCTGTGAAGACTAGGATTTAAAGCTGAATCTTGTGTCAGATGACTGGCTATGCCAACAGATGTCCATACTGTGCAAATATTTACAAATATGCTTAGCTTATGCATGAGTAGTCAGTTCTGTGCAGTAAGTTAAACTCTTCAGTAAGTGTTTGCAGGATTGGAGCCAGAGCTTGTAACTTTCATGAAGCCAGACAGTTTGTATTACCAATTATGCCAGCACAGCTCTGACGAAATTTATGTAGTACTCCAGACCTGTAAGAAAGTTTATTAAGCCTTAGTTAAACTTCAAAGCACATAGTGATTTTTTTAAAAAGTCTATGGCTGATAAATTCAGAACTCCACAGCTGATGAGAGTCAGCCAAACAAAACATTTCATGATTTTAGTTTTGTTTTAACGTTATTTTCAGAAAAGCTTTTTTAAGTTAACTTGTTACCACTTTTCAGAATTTTGCATTTCATAACTGCTCTGTTGAATGAATCTCAAAAATTTTTCATTGGCTGTTTAGCAGAATGTGTAGTAGGAAGACCTGATTACTTTCAGTAATGAAGATGGTTGCACTTGGATTTAGAACAGAAATGTCTTTTAACGGTAAAATTCTATTCCTATGACCATCTCTATCGTCATAATACCAGTATAGCATTATGATACATACATACCTAAAACCAACTGGTGCAGATAAGTACAGGATCTGTTTCTGGGTGTGAGTTCAATGCCATTTGTTCCCGAGTCTACTGCAAAAAGCTTGTCTGCTTTAATATGGAAAGTTATGAGATTACTACTGGTTTCCTTGTTTAAGTACACCTTTATATGCTGTTATATTGCATGGACAATGAATGGCTGCTCTGCCATTCAGAGCATGTGTGATGACTGACGGGACAAATTTCAGTTTTATTTTTGATTTTGTAGTTTTTATATTGGCTTCAGTGTTCTGGAAACAGCTCAGAAACAAGGAATCTCTTCTGTCAGGTAGAACTGCATGTGTTCTTTGTTGAAGTTATGATTCTGGCTAGCGGAATGCAGTCAGGGTGAGTTTTTTACTAATGTTGTGAACTGTTTTTAGGGGGACAGACTGTCACTTCCTGTAGCAATTGATTAATTCTGTTATATTTCCAGGACTGTAAAAGTTTAGTAGTTAGTGATCCTCTCATGTCTGTGCATCACAGGACAGAGCCTGTGCATCACAGCTACAAGCTCAGCAGTTACTTTGCATGGTTTGTAGAGGTGGGTGAAGGTGGGGAGAGGAAGCAGAGTTGACTGAGCGAGTCTTTGTCCTCACCAGCCCTTCTGCCACACCAAGATACTCGGGCTGTTTGGCATGGGAGAATTGCACAAAGAGGATTCCAAGTAGGAAGGGAAAAGGAGAGCCCAGACAGTCATGTCTGAGCTGACTGCTAAGCAACTTCTGGGTGAGATGGTAGCCTGCCCTTGGCCTGCTGAGAAGTCTTGTGATGGTATTTCTGTTGATGCTTGCTTTTTTTTTTCCATGAAGACAGGACAATTTGACATGCAAATACAATCGTATTTTTGTTTTGTTTTTGTAAATGTAACAGTTCCTTGGTTAGGGATTGAACCACCAAGGGCAGGACAAAGACGGAAGCCAGAAGTGGTGAGAGAGGGGTCAGGAACTGCTGCTCAGGCAGAGTGAGAAGAAGGTGGTAGCCATGTTAATGACTCCAGAAAGGCTGGAAGTCGCAGGACAAGTACATTGTGCAGCCTTACTGGGGATGTGTAGTGAAAGGCTGAGAAATGGATGTGAGTGGCCAGGAGAGAAAATAGTGAACAAACAGGAGGTGGTGGGATTGGTTGTTGTGGAGGAAGGTGAAAGGACAGAGAACTTGGTCGTGTTGGTAGCAGTAGAGCTGTGCATGCTGGCCTTGAAACAGAGTCAGCTCTTCAGCCTGTTTCTGCAGTTGCAGATTAACTGTGCAGTGGATATACAGGCACCAGATTTAGCCTGGGGCAGGCTCAGCTCAGCACTAGCACTTTATTAGTTCAAGTGCTATGCCATGTTAACACATCTCTGCTGTTTCCAGAACCAGCTTTGCAGTGCAGCTGCTTTCAGACAGTGTCTGAACTAATAAGTCCTGATGGACCAAGCTGGCTCTGCGTAGACCCACTTGGGTGTTTCTGTGCTGTGCTCCATGTTCCAGGGGATTTTATTAGCTTGGCTGGAAATCTGGATCTGAGCTTGCTTTGTGCAGAGTAGTTGACGTCGATGGTTAAGGAGACCTCCCGAATCTGGAGTTCTGGAGGAATGATGGTGCAGAGACACCAAAGTGCTAACGAGTCCTGAAGGACCACACGGGCTTCGTCGGTGGATGGCTGCGTTTCCAGATAGTGCTTTCCTGCATTTCCAGTGGGAGCTGGGTAATCAAGGCTGTTATGTTGCCCTTGTATCCAAGCTCTCTACTCGTGAGAGTGTAGAAATGCCTGGACTGGCTTTCTGTTGTTGGTCTAGCTACTGAACAGGTACGAGAGAAAAGTAGTAGCTCTTGGGGATTAAACCTTGGCTCTCTCACGGCTACAAAGTTACTAATGATGTGCTTGAATAGGGCAGATTCTGTCTGTATTTACTGAGTATCCATGTACTTTAAAAAAAAACCACTGCTACTTTTTAATGTGTGTGTAGGAAATTTCTACCTGCCTTTTCAGCTGGGCCCATGGAACTACCATTTTTTATATGTTCTCTGAAAATAATAAGAGCTAGGAGTTATTTTCTAGACTGAGACCCAGCAGTATTTTAGGGCTAGCTAAATCTAAAGATTTTTAATTTTAGGGCTATCTAAATCTAAAGGTAGAGCTTTGCAAAACTCTCAGATACTGTGGTAAGGTCACTGTGTCTGAGGTAGATGTGATCTGAGCTCTGTATAGCAAATAAACATTCTTACGTAATGGCTTCAAACCGGTCTTACCAAAATCACACTAGCTGCTTAACAGGATTGGTGTGAAGGACAGTCTCTTTTTCAGTATTCCTCAGGGATAGGTGTTATGTCAGAACTGAAACTATTTATATCCTTCACTGGTTTTAGCAAAGAGGCCAGGAATTCGAGGCAGTTTTCTAAGTGTGATGTTCCATTCTACACCTAAAGTTAAGACTGATGTGTTTAATATGTTCTTTGTCTGTATTAGGAAAATAAGTAGGGGTTAGCTGCATGCTGAAAATTATTCTCAACCTTTATTTTTCTGAGCTAGACAAGTTTAGCTGAGCACATTTTTTCAGTCTGCTGTTTTCTTAAACAGTAAATTGATTAGCTCTTTTATTGTTTTATGGGAACTGCCATATGAATAGAACTGGAAGGGTTGCAATGGGGGAGGGAAATTTAACAATCCTATTATTTTTAGGAATTACTTATTCAAAAATAAAAGAAGCAGTTTCAAATTATACTTGGCAAATTGTTTGAACAAATCTCATATATGCCAAAAGTCAAATGGAGGCAGAAATAAATGGACTGTGATGCCAAACCATTGGGCATCAGCACACATTAAATTAATCCTCCATCCTTTCAGTTGAGACTAAGGAACTTTTGTCTCCATGCAGTAACCGAGGAAGTATTTGACTTGAAAATTTTGGGTCATAGTGAGAGAAGGTGTCATAGCAAAAGAAGCTGTGGAATACTTAATTTGTGAAAGTGGTTTGCTCTAAAAACAGAAGTAGACAGGTTTTACATTAATTTTTTTTCCATCCTTGCATTTTGATACATGCTTTCATTTAGTGTTTTTAAAAAAAATCAGTGTATCTGCTACGAAATAGGTCACACTGCTTGGCTGTTAGGGTGCTTGAATCAAAAATTGTAATGAGTGTCAAAATTGAGCAGAATAATTGAACATTAATACTTTCCCAGAATAA